TTTATTATATTATTAAAAGCTAGAACATGAAATTAAAATGCCGAGGAACTGTTATGTAATTCTTCGTACGAGTTATATAACGTAAAATTGAAACGTTTTCGTATTACTACAAATATTGATAATTAATAATTTTATGTATGTGTAAACAATTATTTCAAATATTTTAACAATTGAATCTTTTATTTTTATTATGGCAAAAAGTGTGTAAGAAGTTCATAGTATTCTTTACATATATTTTTGAAAATATAATAAATATATAAAATATAAATGTATATATACATAATCAAAGTATCAAAATATCTGCTTAAAGTTATTGAAAATTTCATGACAATTGCAACAACGACAAATAAAATATACTAAAAAAGGAAATTATAAGCATCATTCAATTTTTTATAGTTTTCGATTTTTTTATTTTACATAATGAAATTTAATAACGCGGTATCAAATCAGGCAAGGAATAATCGATTCATGATAATTATAATTGGCACTTAAATATCGTTTGCTTGCTCTGTTATCTTTGTAAAATATTAGCAAAAACGCAGCAGCACGTGCTTATATTGCAGTCATAAACGTGACTTCATGTTATAGATATGCCTGTACGAAATTCGACCTTGTATTCTATCTATCGCTTGCGTGGTTTTTTCAATTTTAATGCGTAGATCGTGGTTTGAAACTTTTTCTGTAGATAAATGCTAATAAAATTTTCTTTGTTCTATGTTATTTCACTATATATATTTCACATTTAAATCAATTATTAATAAATTAATAGTTATCTTCTGCGCGGATACTAAAAATTATAGACTTTTTTTTATATCTTTCGATAATATACGAATAAATAAATTCCAAAAATACTATTTTTAATTCTAGAAATTCATTAATTTAAAAGTTATACATATGAAAAATTTACTGTTAATATAATATTTAATAAGAACAATCAATGTTTACAGATAAGTTTCATCGTCTGTAGTGATAACAAGAAACATCTATTCTGACTCGTTGTTGGGACTGTAGGTAATGTAGATTTTTAGTTTTCCGTATGTATTTCAAATGATTAATATTAATATTAATTATTAATTAAATTTTTATTTATTATGAAACTTTGGATTTATTGTGTTTAATATCAATATTAGATTATACATTATACATATATACATATATATATATATATATATATATAGATATATATATATATATGTATTAATTTAAACATTCATGTTAATAAAATGATTTTCTAACATTAAAACTTATATTTTTTATAATCTAATATCTAATTTAGAGTAAATCGATAAATTAAATAATTTTTTAGAAGACATAAATTTAAAAAATATATAAAAAATTAAATTTAATATTATTATATGATAATAATAATATTTTAATATTAATAATTTTTAATTATAATAGTAATCTCAGTGTCAAAATAAAATTCTAATTTTATTAAGCAAAAGTATTATAGATTTTTGGATAGTTTAATAAAAAATTAAAAATTATTAATTACTCTCTAATTATTTGTGGCATTATTGAAACATAACCTCTAAATAATATTTGCAATTTTCTCGTTGCTTTTCATTTTTAAATAAAATGTCGAATAATAAAAGATCAACTTCTCTACGTGATAGATATTCATTATACGTGGATAATTAAATCAAATTCATGTAAATACATAGTCAGTCGAACGAAGAATTAATCGAACGAAGTACATTTCTAATACAAAAGCGTGGAAGTCTTGCAAACGTTGTGGCAAACGTTCAACCGGGCCCCTTAGGCCTTCTTATCTTGGGAGGGGACCAGGCCACGCGAGGCCTCTCGAACCCTGAGTACATTTCTTGTCAAAAGTATACGATGCTTTTAATATAGATCAAAAAGTTCTATTTTCTAAATATTGCGACGATATTTCGAATTTAAAATTTCTAGCTTGTCCTTTCTACATCAGAAAAAAATTGAAAATATGTTCTTTCCTTTTACATCACTTCATGGCCATTTCGTATTCTCATTATGTCACTATTTTCATTCTTATATTTTATTCGCATAAGAAATTTTACATTTTGATTGAAAAATTTATATTAAATATATATAGTATATTTTTATTTATGTATTTTAATATTTTAATATTTTATTAAAAATATAAAATAAAATTTATATTTTTACAAAATATAAGTATTTTTATGTTCTTGTCCTAACAGAATTTATTTTGGATTAAAATCTATATATTATTCTAAAAATAAAATCATTTATCATTAAAATTGTGATTTATGATTCTAGTCATACCGATTAAATGATATTTAAATTAATTCATACTTATAAAAAATATTTGATAAAACTTTTTTAATTTTTATATTAAAATTATTGCAATTTGTGATACAAATTGTGATACATGTATATATCTATTATATTGAAAAATTTCTTGAATGAAAAAAATACCCAAAATAATGATATTCTTAAATTATAGCACAGAAAATCTTATTATTTTTTAGTTTAATTTTATTGAAAAAAAAACAAAAAGATACAAATAATCATATGATTCCATATTTAGATTATTTCATTAAATGTTATTTAATATGCAATAAATATTTATATAAATTATTAAATGATCCAGAATATGATAAATCTAATTAATCAAAACTAATAAAAAAAAATGAGAATGACCTTCGATTTAGTCTTCTGAAAGATGCAATCTGGTTTTTAGGCGCGGCTATGAAGCGTCTACAAGACGGTGGCAACAGAATGCTTCTTGAGTGGAAATTTCCATTGCAGTTGGCATGCTGTGTGCTATAACTGTACAGTCCATCATAAAAGTAGCAGTTTTCTTATATTAATTATTATAAGTATTATAAAAAATTGTTCATTATTCTTTGTAATGTAAATATTATATTTTTAATATTTTTTTATAAAATTTAGTTTTTAAAACTATAATATAATTTTTATTCCAAATACATCAATAAAATAATTTTATATTGTAATCAAAAAATACAAAATATCTCATTTGTAATTATTTATATATGGATAAAGATTCATATTTAAGACATATAATTTATAGATACAAGTATATAATTGCGATTTTATTTATTTATTGATAGATAGATTTCTTTTTAATTGACTCATATGGAATTAGATTGTGATCGCATAAACGAAAAAGTTGGTTAATCTAACAATATTATTATAGTATTCGGATTGTAAATGAAATAAAAATATATATAAATATATCATTTATAAAGAAATTTATAATTTTTATTACTTTTTTGATTTAGTAAATTAGTAGTAAGTAAAATCATGTCATTTTTTTTGAATTAATATATTAATCAATAATAAAATGACTGCGATTAATAAATCTGTATTAGTATTTATATTCTGATATATATGTTATCGTTTTTTTCTATCCATTTTTTTATTAATTTTTTTTTCAATTTTTCAATTTTTCTATATATTTTAATTTCTTCGTTCTCCAACTATTTTGTTTTTTCTATTATTTTTTCTTTTTCCAATATTTATTTTATTATTTCTCTCATCGAATCTTTTTCCTTATTTGTGTTTTTTCATTTTTATCTCTATCATTTCTTCTAATAGAGACTTTATTATTTCTTAAATTCTGTTTATTTCTTTTTTCTTCTTCTTTCTATTTTCTTCTATCTTTGTTGTGCTGTTTTTTAAATTATAAATTATTTATTCATATATTTGAAAAATTCTTTGATCATTTTTTCATTTTTTTCAAAGATAGTCATTCTTTCTTTTTTCGTTTTTTAGTACGGTAATAGCACTTGTTATACTTTTGCTTAATATAATTATTTAATATAATTCAATTCAAACTTTTGCTCTTCTTTTCTTTTTTTCTGTACTCTTTTTTTTCTAAATTTTTTCTATTTCCTTCTATATAATTATTTTTCACATTCCTGTTCCTACTATTAACTTTCTTATTTTTTACTAATATTTTTCTTAATTTTTTTTACAATTATCCAAGTGATTGAAAAGAAATTATTTAGGAATATTCCAGGATTGTCTTGAAATCATTATCAACTATGTTGAAGAGGATTAATGTTTTAGAATCTTATATTTTAATCTAAAAGTAATAGCGGGAATTAACACGACGTGATTGCTACGCCGTCTATCGGAATGCGCCGAAAGAATCTGATGTAAATGTACACAAAGAATAATAAGAATAAAATAATAAAATTTGACAACGCCATCTATGTTATATTTTATAGTACTATAGTTACACACTATCATATATTATATATGTAAATGTAAATAATTAATTTAATTATAAATAAAAATAAATTTTATAATTTTATATATAATTATAGATATATAAAAATATATAATAAATATATAATAAACGTATAAGAAGATATAAGAATATTCATTGAATATTATTATTAGAATATATTTTATGATTAATTTAATTTTATTTTTATTTTAATTATATTATTATTACATCTCATATTTTCAGTAAATACAATTATTAAATTCTAATTTATTTAAATAATTTAAATTTATGCTTTATTTAAAAAAAAAAAGAATAAAATGTGCAGTAAAGTAAAATATAAGTTAGTGTTGTAAATAATTTGAAAATAACAAATTATCACTAAATTTTTATACAAAACAATCAAATTGAAAAATATAGGAAAAATGTAAAAAATGAAAAATTTTTTCTAAAATAATTAAAAAGAAAATAGTACTATATTTTAAAAATGATATTTTAGTTCATCAATTGTTGAACACTTCAATTAACCAATCAAATGACAGAACATTTATATCTGCAATTATATATACAATATTTTTATTCAGAATTAAAATCAAGACTAATTTATAATCAAGTAAAATAATTAATAATAATAATAAATTTGACATTTTATTAAATAATTTAAAAAATCATGTCTTAATATCATATTATTATATTTATTTTTTATATGTAATGTATAAAATAATATATATGCTCTATGCTGACTCTTATTTTCTGAACGCGGTGTGATTCTGCAATTCGAAATTTACAAATTTTGAATTCTTAACAAAAATGTATTTTTTATTCTTTCTATTTTTCTTGTTTTAATCATAAATTATATTTAACAAAATGAACTTACTTCTGACTCAGCAAATTAGTAATTATATATTATTCATGTGAACGCTTCTTATGTTAAGGTAATTGCTATACGAAACACGATCGATCTTACAGTGTGTCATAAAAATAGTGAAATAAAAACTATATTCGATATTACTATCGTTATACATTTCTTCGAGAAAAGTGATATTCAGATTGATCAATTAATTCGAATAAAATTTTCGAATTTGTTTCTATAACTAATCTACGAAAAACAAGATTCTAATTAATAGAATCAACCTAATATCTATCGTCTGCCACGCAGCTGTTGTAACATAATGCAGCGATATGATGTTTATCCTGTTGTCAATTATTGTTTTTTGGTTGGAATATCTGCATTAACAAATCATAGGAAAAAAAACATCATTTGCTAATTCAAATGCAATGGTTTACACATATGAATGTCAAAAACTATCTCATCATGTAGTTTTACAAACAAAAAGAGATGCTTTGGCATATTCAAAATTTTATAAAGTTTAGTAGAATTGGATATTTTTGAGCACATATCTGTGTTTTATTGAAAGAAATTTCATAAAAATATAATTAATAACATTAAAATGTCCACATTAAAGTTGAGCATGCAAGATAAAAAGGATTTGGATAAATTTACCAAATTTTTGGCATTAAAAGCTGCTCAAATTATTGTGCAGTCGAGGTCAGGTGAAAAGGTTAGCACAAAGTGCAAGCCAAATTCATCTGGAACAGATTGGGTAAGCTTTTCTATATGATAACTTTACAATAATATATATTATAGATAATTTATATATTTATTTCTCAAATTGATTTAATATATTTTAAATTTATTTTTTAATTTTTTTCTTAATTAAGTTCATTTATTGTGTTTATATAATACATTTAAAAAGTAAATTATTGTCTTTTATTATTTAAGAAAAATTTATAAATTTATATAAAATTTATATTAATATAAAATTTTATGAAATAACAAATATATAAATAAATACACAAATAATTTTATTTAGAATATTAAAAATATAGTTTTTTATATTAATTAATTAAAAAAAATTATTTAAAAAGAATATAAGTTTTCTATATGTGAATATTTTTATTGTACAGTTTAATCTTGCTATTCATGATCTACCAGAAGTTTTGGCTGAAGCCAAAAGAGTATTATGTGGAGAAATAATAAATTCAACCATACCTCTTTGTATTGAAATTTCATTAAGAACCGTTGAAGGTGATACAATGGTTTTAGAAACATGGAGCCTAGGTGTTTTGCCAGAGCATAGTGATCCCACTGTAAGAGTAACTTACACAGTATATAACAGAATGGGTATTTTACTCAAATCATTATTATCTGTATCAAGAATTACTCCAGCTTATAAATTGAGTAGAAGACAAGGTCCAGATTCCTATGTTATTTGTTATAGAATTTATATGGGAGAACCTCAGCTACATACATTAGGTATAAAAAAAAAATACTTTACTTTATATCAAAATTTTATTTTGCTTAATATATTGCAATTTTTAGGTGATAATTATAAACATGTTAGAGTGGGTCAGTTGTGTACACCAGTGGGGACAATTCATTTATCAGTATCATATAGAACAAAAATGACTATATCTCCTACTCATACTGGGCGTGATTCAATAATGTTAAAAAGTGATCATTTTCATTCTGACTTAAGTCCTCGTCATGCTAGATATCAACAAAGGTATTTTATTCAAATATAATTTTTAATTTTTTAGATTTATATTAATCTTTTGTTTATATTTTTTTGTTTATATTTTAGTGAAGAAACTTCGAAATCCCTTAGTGATACTATTAAAGTTGGAGCATTTGTAGTCAATAAACCTGTTACTGTTAATGAAGAGAACTTTGTTATACCAGATGTACCTTTTAGTTCTTTACTAGCTCCTAGACAAACTTCACCTCCTCCAGTCTCAGCAGCAGAGACTACATGTACAAAGACTGCAACAACAAATATTACCACAGATAGCAGCAATGGAAATAATGAAAGACTTACAAATGATAATGCAACGTCGAAATGCAACTCGCAAAATGGATCAAGAAGAAGTAGTTGCTCAATGGCTAGTGCCAACGACGATTTTATCATGGTAGATTTGGTAATTAACGTTCCTATCTTTTTAGTATAATAGAAACGTTTGATTTGTCTAAACTCTTTAAATATTGAAATTATAGAAAACGCCTTTCGCCGTTACAAATACTAATAGCGATTTAGGAGCATTTTATCGTGAATGTCAAAGTGCACCTCAACTTCAAGCCTTTATGGAGGAAAGAACACTCGCAGAACAAGTAGGAGATCTTACAAAACAGTTGGAAACATTTGAAACTAATATGCGGCGGTATGAAGATATTCTGTCATCATTATGTCAAACAGAAAATAATAATTAATCAAAATCAAACGATACAATGTTAGGTGCTTTAATGAAAACTGTTAATATATACAACCAGCATATAGTGTTTCGTTATAGATTTATGCGATTTTCATTATATGCATCACAATATTTCAACAAAAATATTTCAATAAAATTTTAAGCCAAGTGCTACTATTGCTTATAATCATTTATAAGTGAATTGGATTTAATAGTTTAATACATTTAGATAAACATTTATCTATAAATTATGAGAATGAAATAGTTAAATTATATTATCAATGTAACTTATATTTGATATATATGGCTTATTAATGTACTTTTTTTTTATAATTTTTTGCATTAATTCCTTTTATCACGCTGGTAATAATTAAAATTTTTCATTTCAAATTATTTTAATTTATGTCTATATTAATATCATAAAAATTCATTCGCATAAACTATACTCTAAAATTTGTTTCAAACTGTGTACTATATTTGTACTATTTGTTAAACACTATTAGTAATGCGAATTAACGAATGACGGTCAACGATTATTAATATATTTTGAAACTTTAATTAATTTATTGCTTGTAAATAGTGTAAATTGTATTTTAGTGTTATAATATTAATTAATGATTATGAAAGGATTATATAACTTTTTCATGTTTTATTATTCCAACCACTTAATAAATCAGGCTGTGCTTACAATTTGAGTTAAATTTTTATACTTAAGACACTATACGCAATCCTTAATTATTTAAACAGTGAATCTTATAAGAAGTCTGTAAAGTAATAAAAAATTAAAACAAATTGAGAATATTGAACTATTTTTATATAAAATTTTTTTTAATTTTTATTAAACAATAAACATCCAATGTAGTATTTTTTTATTTTTGTTTTTCTTTTAATTTTGTTATTCATTGATTTTTATAACATTGATTTAGACATTTATGAAGCAAATAATATTCATTATATTGTGATATTGCAATGTACATAATTCACTTTATAAATATCCATATTATTCTAATTAAAAACTAAAACTACTTAAAAACTATAGTCAATGAGTATTCTATTTTGAATTTACGTAAATAAATGAAACATGGCGGACTCAGCGGGCAATTGGTGTCTTATTGAAAGCGATCCTGGAGTTTTTACGGAATTAATAAAAGAATTTGGTAAATTGATTGATTTCATTTAAATTTATTTTTCATTACTTTAAATGTATTTAATATATATATATGATTATGCTAAAAGATTTATGTATATATTTGACAGTTACTTTGAACGCACTTATATTTTAAAATATTATTTTTTTGAAATTATAAAGTATTTAATATAATTTTTTTTTCTAAAGGTGTTCAAGGTGCTCAAGTGGAAGAATTATGGAGTTTAGATGATGAGCAATTTGATAATTTAAAGTAAATCTAATCTATATGACATAACCTATTTAATATTGTATTTCAATTATCAATTAAATTTATTTTCCATTTTGTGTAATTTTTAAAATTAATATTATATATTTATAATTATAAGTTTATTATTATTTAAACTTAGAAATTAAAAAATAAATTAAATTAATTCATCTCTTTGTTTTTACATTTTTTTTATAATATATTAATAATAATTTCTTATTTATTAGGCCTATACATGGTTTGATATTTTTATTCAAGTGGGTGCAAGATGATGAACCTTCTGGAAGTATTGTTTTAGATAATAGGTTGGATAAGATATTTTTTGCAAAACAGGTAATTTTTATATCTTTCATTAAATTTTTTTATAATATCAGATGACAAAAATATTGAAAATTACTTATAGGTAATTAATAATGCATGTGCAACACAAGCAATTTTGAGTGTATTATTGAATTGTAAACATTCTGATATATCATTGGGACCAAATTTAGAAGAATTTAAAAATTTTTGTCAGAGTTTTGATGCTAATATGAGAGGACTTGCTCTTAGCAATTCTGATGTGATAAGAGAAGTACATAATTCTTTTTCAAGGTATTTTCCATTTATCCAATATATATTTTAATAACATTAATAAGTTGTTTAATATAAATTGTTATAATATAAAATAAACATTGTAGACAAACAATATTTGAATATGATTCAAAACAAGCATCTAAAGATGATGATGTATTTCATTTTGTGAGCTATGTTCCTATAGATGGACGATTATATGAATTAGATGGATTAAAAGATGGACCTATGGATCTAGGCCCTTGTCCACTTGGAGATCAATGGGTTCAAGCAGCTAAGCCCATAATACAAAAAAGAATAAATAAGTAACTATTTTATAATATTATAAAATATAATTTATACAATCATTTATTTCATATAACAATTATATAATTTACAATTAGATATAATGAAGGAGAAATACATTTTAATTTAATGGCAATAGTAACAGACAGAAAAACAGTTTATGAACGGCAAATAGCAAATGTCTGTGATCCAACAGAATTAGAACGTTTACAAACATTGATAGAGAAAGAAATTCGAAAGTCTAAAAGATATCAGATTGAAAATATCAGAAGAAAGCATAATTATTTGCCATTAATAATGGAATTACTCAAAATGCTTGCTAAAGAAGGAAAATTAGTACCTTTATATCAAAGAGCAAAGGAAAAAGCATTGGAAAAAGAATCAAAAAAGAATAAAGTTTAATTCTGGATTTTTTTGAATTGCATAAGAAAAATATTGGAATGCATGTATGTATTGTATAAACATTATTCAATAAATTACAATTCCTTTTAATTCTGTTTTAAAAATAAATATAAATATTACAAAAATTTTTTATTTTAAATTCTATTATCATATTGAAAATCTTTGTGTAATATTCATTTATTATATATTGATATCTTCATTCAAGTCTTCATTTATAATTTTAACTTTACCGTCTTTATAAGATAGTCTAGGAAGAAATTTATCCATTGATTCATTTCTTATATTTTGTATTTTTTCATGATATAAATAATCCACAATGTCTACATAAACATATAAAATTAAAAATATTAAGATTATTATAGAACAAAGCAATAATTTATTATTTATTTAATATAGAAGCTTACCAGGAAAATATTTTGTACCTATTTGTATGGAAGCATTTTGGACTAGATAAAGAAATGTTCTACATAAAAAGATAGTAGTAATTCCATCAAAATATTTTGCAACATTTGACCAGATAATTTCTCGAGTATCTGAAATTCCTTTTCCATATATGCTATAATATAATTTTATATTATAAAAGAGACTGAGATTATTGTAATATAAATAGAGAAATAAGGAAGGATATTTCTACTTACTATTCAATTAATTTTATTTTTATATCATTTAAATAAATAGGTTCTGGACAAAATAATTGCATATGTAATTGATGTATCCAAAATTTTTTTAGTATTTCATAATTTATATTTAATTTTCCTTCTAATTTTTGCCAAACAGGTTTTGGAATAATAGCATCTTTTAAATCTTCCACTGTTTCACATAATGTTACATGCATAAAAGTTTTTATAAATTTGCCAATTAATGATAATGTCCATTTTACTTCAGATGTTGCTTTAATAAAAATTAATTAAATAGATTTTATTATTCAAATTATAAAAATTATAACTTCATTTTAAAAAAAACTTACATTTTTTATTATCTTGCATCTGTTCTGTAAGCAATTTATAACGTAACCAAATTGAATGTTGTGAACGATTTAATATTTTACTTAATTTTAGCAAATTTTTATGTGGTTTTTTTTCATTTTGTTTATTCTCCATACAAGATAAAATTTTCTTATCTTCAGTTAATGTATATCTGAAAAACAAATAATTAATATAAAATATATAAAAGAAATATATGATTAAGTTTGAATTATAATAATATAATAATAAATAATTCTATAAAATATGTTTAACACAATACCTTTGAAAATTTTTTGTTTGCTTTTTATACAAGTATTTAAATCTATGATAAACACTATATAATGATCTCCATGGTAATCCATTGGCTAAAAATTGAGAAAATTTTTGTCTTTCTTCCATGGTTCTTATATAAAATTTATTTTTATTTTTCATTTGAAGAAATGGTTTTACATTTTCAGAATTCCAGTTATGAGTCTATAAAATTACATTTATAAATATACAAAAAATTATATATAGAAAAAATATATAAAATTAATCAAATATACTTCACAAAATGCTTTCCAATTATCTTTAATAATTTTATCTTCATTAGGGGTAAATACACCACTTTTTAATGGTCCATGTTCTAAAAAGAGTTTTTTCTCTTTTTTTGTTAATGGTTTTGTACCTGCTGTATGTTCAATTTTATGTTGAGCTGGTACTTCATGCATTAATTTTATTCTAAATTATATAGTCTCTAAAAAAATAATAAAATAATAAAAAGTTAATAAAATAATTGATATTATTTATAATATGATATAATTTACACAAAATATATTTTAATTATATACTTTTAATGCATCCTTAGGGAATTCATCTAATTCATCAGCATTTTCCTCTTTTTCTGATGATAATTCAATGTCTAGTTCTCCTAAGATATCGTTTATAAAATCATTTTCCACATCATTCTCTTTTTTTATATTATTGGGACACTTTTTTTTTTGTATTTTTGGACTAAGTATACGTTTGCGTTTTATTTTTTGACTTGTTATACTTTCTGGAATTTCATTAGAATTTTCATTTGCAATAAAAAGAGGATCAAATTCTGGATCTTGGGATGTTTCTGTAGTTTGTTCAATTTGTACATGATCATTCATTGTTGAACAAAAAAATTCTGTATTTATTTTATTTTCTTCAAAGTCCATTATGGAATTAAAATCATGTAACATGTCAATAGCTTCTAGATCATTTACTTCATTATAACATAATTCAGATTTAATCATATTGGATAATTGATTATAATCATTGCTAGATTTTTTTTTTATCTTTTTATCAGATATATTCTCATTATGGAAATATTCACTTTTACATGTTGCTAATGTTTCTGATAAAAAATTAATATTTTTTGAAATTAATTCTTCTGAATATGTCTCTACATTAAAATTTTGAGAGCAATCTATATTCTCTATTTTAATGTTATTTATCTCTTCTAAATCTCTTAATGCAACATTTTTTTTTGGAGTCTTGCATAAATCTTCTATTTTGCGTACACTTATTGAATATTGAGTATTATTTTTTATATCAATATTTTGTGTTAATACTTCTTCATCTTCTTTATTTACTTCTTCTGAAGTTTCATTTAATAATATTTGAGATGATTCATAATCATTTAATAATTTATTATTTAATATATGATCTTGTATCTTTTTTTTTTAAAAACTTCTTTTTTATTAGCCATTTTTGAATCATAATTTTTTAAATAAAAATATATTATATACTATAATATAAAATAAAAATTATATAAAATTGTTTACATGAACTTACTTCATTTTAATATACGTTTCGGTTAATATTCATTAAGAAAACACATAAAAATTGAATTGAAAGATCTTTTAAGATTTTTATATTATAGGTTAAGAAATATATGATAAATTATATTATAATAAACTATTATATTATCTATATATATATATATTATAAAAAAGTTTTTTAGATATAAGAACTATTTCGAATGTATAAATTTTATAGAACAAGTTAGACAAGGAGAGCAAATATATATATATAATGCCATGAAATGAAATTTGTAAAAAAAAGTATAGAGAAAACTGGAAGAAAGATAGAATAAGAATTAATTGCTAGCGCCATCTTTTATGTCAAAGATATTTTTTTAAAATTATTTTTCTAAAAGTATTCAAGAGATGGTACTAATTTCCAATTCTTATTCTACTTTATCTATTAAAAAGATGTCTTTTAACATTCGAGAGATGCCATTAATAATCAATTCTTATTTTATTTTTTTATCTATTATTTCTCTTCTTGTTTATATTTAATTTCATTTATAAAATTCTCTAGAAATAGCGTTTTTTCAATTTTTTTCCTATTTTTGTCTTTCTTATTATTTATTCTTAATATTCCCAAAGTTTGGAATTTTAGAATCAAAAAATGCATTGAATATTAGATTTATTTTATGTCCTTATGATATAATATATATTTTATAATACAATTAATAAATATTTAGAAAAATACATTTATAAGAAATTTATATTAATATGGAATCTGGATGAAATGGAAATATTTCTTTGTAACGTGAATCTGTATTATATATTTGTAAAAATGGTGATACTTCCTTGAATGTTTCAAGATTAACTGCAGTTCCACCAATAAATAAATTCAAAATAATGTTATTAGTTCTATAATTAGTAGCTGTCACTGCTCTTCTTAATGTAACATTTGTTATATTACGACATCCAGATAAATCTAATATCTTCAATTGAAAAGAATGTTGAATAAATTTAGATATTGTTATATCAAAGAAACTACATTCTTGACACACTAGCTGTTTTAAATTATATAAATGTAATAAACCATTGCTGGTTACTTGATATAAATCACGTGTTATCAATATTTCTAATTTTGTAAATTTTTCTATAGCTGCTAAAGTATGATCTGTAATAAAATGACCTGGAACATCTGAAGATGATACATTAAAATTTATAATATAAGTTTTGAAACTTAGAATTTATATGATCAAACTTACCACTAAGATCTAAGTAAATCAGTTGTTGACAATGTGAACTTAATTTGCAAAGAATAGAGTTGCAAATAAACCAATTTGCACTTACTTTCAAATTTTTAAGATTACTTAATGTAGTTACATGTGATATACCATTGAATTGTAACATGCTAGATTTACCAACAATTTCCAATGTTTCTAAACTTGTAGAATATTTGCCAATAGCTTTTGTAGTTTTTTCTAAAGTATCAAAACATTCTGATATTATAAAATGTTTTAAATTATTTAATCTTGTAATTGCCTAAATATAAAATTCAAAAATTATATTAGGAAACAAAAAATAAAAATAAATTAAAAAATTTTTTAACTTTACCTCTGCTACATCATCATCACAAACATAATCACATCTTTTTATAATAATTTCTTTTATTGTATTTGATGGTAAATGTAATAAACATTTACCAGATATTTTAATGTCAACTAATTTAAGAAATTGTAATTGTTGATTTACTTTGAATAGTTTTTCCAAATCTGTGTCGAAAAGATATATACAATCTAAACTAAGTTTCTTTATGTTATGACAGTTATTAATTACTGATGTTATTCCTGTTGAAGGTACTTGGAGATAACTGACATCAATGATTTCTAAATTAGGACATAAATTACCAATAATAGACAATGCACTTTCTCTACCCTCGCAAAATGTTTTTTCTAAATATATTTTATTTAGAAATTTGCCACATCGTGATAATACTTTATTAAGAATAACTGTATTTATTTGTTTTAATTTAGCATTAGAAGCAAATCCCCAGGTATAATTTCTTAGATCTAATTTCTTTATATTATGCCAAGATTTTTGACTTATTTTCTGCCATCTTTTACACACTAAAAGATTATATATTAATATATAATATTAATATAGTATAATATCAATAAAAATTATTGTTTATTATATATTATAAGATTATATATACCCCTTTCTATCCTAATTCTATCTACAATTGGTAAATAGAGGAAAATAAGTATTAAGCAATCATTATTTAATTTATAAATATTACTATTTATCATAGTTTTTTGTAAGTCACATTGATTGTATTTTTCCAATAAATGTTTTTTTCTAAATTTACATACATTTTGCAATGTACTATAAAATTGATTTGATGTTTCTAAATTATGCCAGATATATTTATTTGTCATAATTTTATATTTAATTATAAATTTTATTTTTCATAAATTTTCAGTTTATTATCATTAGTACGATTATAAAATAATTTCAAATTGAATGTTTATTAGTAATAATATAAATACAAACAATTTCACTTTTTGGTTATGAATTAATATTTCGTTAAAATTTGGTTAATAATTTGGTTAATAAAAAATACTTATAATGAAATTCATATTTATTTATATACTTTTGATTTTTTAGTCCATAACAGCTAATTAGAATATTTATAGTATTTTTTATTATTTAAATAAAGTAATAACAAGCGCGCATTGTCAAACTTGTATATAAGTGAAATAATATTAAATTATACAATAATATACAATAGAAATAATTAAATTGTTTTTTTTATTAAAATATTCATTTTTTAATTAAATTTTATTAAAAGTGTTTTTTTTCAAGAATTCTAATGATATAAATAAATTATTAAAAAAAAATATATTTAATATATAAAATAGAAAAATTATGGAAGAATGAACATATAAATTTTTATAAAGTATATTTATTTATTTATTTAAATTATAAGTACTATATCTGAGAAATTGATTTTGTTTCTTTTTTACATCTTTATATATATTGCTCCAAAACCCATAATTAAAATTTGTAATTTCTTCTACTTGATTTAAAAATATTTGAGTTTTTTTTATTATCTTCCTGTAATAAAAAAACTATAAATATTATGGATATAAAATTATTTTTAATTAATAATTAAAGGTGCTTACTTGTATGTGTTTGTATTTTTAGTATTTAACTCTTTTTCTAAATATTTAAAACACATATCTGTAAGATTATTTAATTGATTAAGAAGTTCTATGCTGAAGGATCCAAATTTTTCTTTAATTGCAGCAAGTGTATTTTCCAAACACATAATACTATTTACCCATTGTCCTTAAATAATTAGTTTTTCATTATTATTTTTATATTATTATTAAAAAAATTTTAAGTTGATTATACAATATGATATATTCACAAACCCATTATTTTATATATTTCTGCCATAAGATTTAATGTAATTGTTATGTCTTCATTATATTTATACAATACTGTTCTTCTAATATACAAACATTTTTCTAACTTATCCAATGCTTTTTCTGGTTTATCTAAATTAATATAAACTTCAGATATTTGAAAAATTTCATTAGCTTGTATTATTTTATTTAAAGATGGATTTTGAGATTTGTCATCACAATCTAAACAATATGTAGAATTTTTTATATTACATAATGCACCATTACATTTTAAACATTTCATTGCATTAAATCTTTCCTGCAAAGATGATCTTATAATATAATCTTATAATTTAATTATATGTTGCAACATATGTTAAAATTATTTAAAAGAAACTAAAAAGAAATATTATTAATTGGAATATTTCAAAAAATAAAAAAATTTTTATATTTACCATGAAGTATTGTAATTTTGGTAGAGTGCATGCTTTACATTTACAAATAAAGCAATACTGACTTTTTAAAATTTTTTGTCTATTGTCTGTTGTCATATGTCTGTAGTGTGGACCTAATAGATGTTTTATTATTTCAATAAATAACTAATATCTAGTTTATAATAAAATAGATTTTTTTAAATAAATTTTACTGTACCATAACAATTAAAAATTTCTTCACCTTGAGAAATATCTCTTGATGCTCTGACAATAAGATATTGATTTACAAAGCTAAAATTTAACAATAAAAATATATTGGATTCTAAAATATATAAAATATATAAAATATATATATATCATATATAAATTTTAACATTACATGTTAATTATATTAGGATCACAAGAATGATTCATTATACTTGCAGAAGGATAAATTCCTGTAGCTATAATATCTTGTTGGATAATGGAAGAATCATTTTTATTAAAAATATATTTGATTTTGTAATGGCATGTCCATTACTAATAAGTTGAAGAATATATCGTAAAAGTAAAGAACTTATATAAAGTTGTTTGTCATTATTTGTTAAAATATTAAAATTTAAATTAAAAAAATTATCCAAAAATTTTTTCATTAAACAATCTTCGAGATTATTCTTTTAAAAAAATTGTATATTTAAATAAGTATATAGTAAGCATAATAGCTGTCTGTAACAATTATTATTATAATTATTTTATTATATATATATTTATTATATATAATTAAATAAAATTTTTTATTTTCTAATATATATATTTTTCAAAAATATACATACAATTCCATATATAGTTAAATCATCCATAGATAACTTGTCAAAATTAGTAACTAAATTTTGCATTTCATTGAATTTAATCTTATCTGTTATAGTTGAACAAGTTAATAAAACTTTGAGAGCTAAATGTCCTATTCCAATTTCTTTCCAAAGATTCATTTGATTTCCTGGACATTCCCAGCAATGATACGAAGACCATGCTTTAGTTAAACAATTTTCATTGCAATAAAAAGTATTTAAACATGTTCTACATCTGAAATCATATAATACAAATATAATTTGTATATACAAAAAGTTAATATATTCATAAGTTGATTCTAGAAATAAAAATAAACATGAAAATTGATTTTCCAAAGTTATAAATAATTTACATTAGAGACAGAACTTATGATGATAGAATTATTCCATTCTATTTCATCTTACTTTATCTAACACAAACATTTATAATTTATTAAATAAATCTCAAATTAAAATTTGAAATTTTTGTGTACCAATTTTTTATTTGCTTAATTTCTAAAATCAATAGTTTTTAAAAATCTTTGAAAATATTTTAAAAAACTATTAATATTTTAGTATATAAAAAATTATTTTAATATGTAAAAAAATGAAAAAATATCAATATAAATAAATTACTTACGGAACAGGAATGTCAGTATTCAAATTATTACAGTATTGACAAAAGCTATATGTATCATGATTTAATAACACAAAACTGATAGGTTCTTCCAAAAAAAGAATATCACCTTTTTTAATAAATTTGTTTGCTACTACATGCCTTCCTAATTTATCATTATGTATTCTATCTACAGTTATAGATGCATTAGGAAAATTCGTATTTTCTTCAAATATAATTTGGGATTTTATTTTCAATATATCATCAGTATTGTGTACAATATCTTGAACACATGACTCAATAAATGTTATGTTACATATTTTTTTTTCAATATTATCTGAAAGTTAATAAAATATTTTATCATAAAAATTATTTCAGTATAAAGAAATAATAGTTGTAAAAATGTAAACTTATTTATTTATTATTTACCTCTCATAGAAGGTTTCATATAATTAGGATCATGAATTAAATTTTGTATTTTAGATAGTGTTTCTTTAGCTAAATGATGTTTGCCTAATTTTAAATAACATTGTATCGCACGTAAATATAATTTATAATGTAATTGTTTAGGATAATTTAATTTAATTGCTAATTCAATATCTTTTATACAATCCTTTTCATCATCAATTTGTATTGATCATATAACAAATATAAATCATAAAAATAAATTTTAATATAGTAAAATAATATATATGTAATCATATATATATAAAGAATAAATAATATATATTATTATTTTTTACTTACATCAAATCTATTTAAATAAAATAATGAAGCAGATCTATTTGCAATTGCAATTGATAATTCACAACTATTCACAGGGGCATAAAGAGCACATTTTGTATATGATTCAACACTTTTCATATAGTTTTTTGCTTGAAATTCTTTATTTCCCATTATTTTAAAAGATTGTGCTTTGGTAATAGATTTAAATTCTTTTTTATTATAATGATCTTCCAACCATAAATGTACAAGCTTTCTAAACATGAAAGAATATAAAAATTTAAATAATAAAATATAATAAAATTAATTGTGTAAATAATGTCATAACAATAAAAATAATAAAAATTTCTTACAAAAATTAAGATATTCATTAAAATAAGTAAATATTAATATTTAAAATCATAAAAATTAAATATTAATTCTTCATTACAATTTTTATTTCTTACTTTATATTTTGATCATTCCATAAATGAAACATAACTTCATCTTCACGTTTTATATTTTTTTGTAAAAGAAATGTTGATTTTGATGTACATGTAAGAACTTCTAATATCTTCTGCCACTCCATTATATATATTAAAAAAGTATTAGGTTAAAATTTTAGGTTATCTTATTTTATAAATATTACAAATATTAATATCCTTAATATTTTTATTGTTTATATTATAATATCAAATAATACATAATATTGTTATTTAGTTACAATCTATATTATAAAAATAACATATTTATTATATATAAAATGATATTCTTTATATTTATGCATTTATAAAAAAATACTTTGTAAGAATATCATACACAAAAATAATAAGAAATTATAAACATTAAAAATATTAGATAATTATTTTTTTGAATTTTTTTGTTAAATGAAATGTAATTTATTATAAATATTTGAAATAATAAAAAATTTTAAATTATGAAATAATTTATTATATAATATAAATGTAATAATTAATATAAGAATCAAATAAAATAGTAGTACATAAATATGTTTTATAATTCATAATCTTTTTTCTTTATAACAATAAAATTTTAATTAAGATCTAAATTTTTAAGAATATAATTATTTTCAATCTAAATAATCGATATATATATATATATAAAATATGTAACTTTTAATATTACAGAACAAATAAAAATAATACAAATAATTTAAATTTATATTGAAATAATTATCATTTGGAAACTCCAATACATACATACAAAGAGCAATATACAATACAGATTTGTTTTTTGAGGCAATAAGATTTCACTTATAAATAAATAATAAATAATTAATACAATATTATTTACAAATAAAAATATAATAATTATTGTATAAGTTATAATTTAGTAAAGCATATGTACAAAATATTTTCTGATTTGTAATTATTATTTTTAAATATTTATAATTTTTTTATAAAAAAAATACAAAGTTATTTATAGAAACAATATTTCCATTGTATTAACAATAACAAAATAGAACATGATAATAGTTTTTTTTGAATAACTTTAATTTTTTGTATTTTTTTTATATGTTCTATATTTATAAATAAAATAATGATGAATACAAAAATATGTATATTTCGATTAAAGTTTTGATTTTTAATAAACTTTGGGATAATATTATTGAATGCACATTCGTAATTTGAAATTATAAGACAATTATGTTCATTTTTCTTCATAATATATGCGAATTATAATTTATCATATTTAGATATATTAAATACAAAAAAAAGTTTGTATTGATAATATTTTACTGGAATTGCACTTTAATAAATATTATTATTAAAACAAATCCGATATTAAATCATCATCGCCGTAATCAGTGTAATCATCTGCTCCAGGTGGTACGAAAATTCCTCCGAGTACTCCAGAAAGATTCTCACCTAAACCCATTGTCGATGCAACTCCAAACACAAGTCTCATCATGAGTAATCTCATAAAATTCACTACATTCGTCTCTTTGCTTTGTAGAGATAACTGCGTTGTTTTCTTTGCTTTACCATCAACGCATTGAATCTGTCGATACATTTCGGATATTTAAAAAAAATCAATATAAATTATCAATATAAATATAAGTTATAATATATCGATATAAATATAAGTTATAATATATCGATATAAATATTTAATTAAAAATTTTATTATAAATTCATAGAAGAAAAGAACGTTTTTATAAATATTTTTATAAATAATTGTTTGAAAATTTATTTTTATTATTCTTTTTACTAATATAATTAATATATTTTTTCAAAGTTTTTGTTATTTTATAAAAAATATTTATATATTGATATTTTTTTGTATAAGAATTAAAATTTGAAAAAAGTTTATAAAAATCATTATGTATAAATCACTATTTATGTAAAAATAACATATAAATATAAAATTTATGAATCATAAATTAACTTTTTAAATAAATTTTAGATATATTTTGCATCATATATGAAAATGTAAAATCATATTTTCCTATTATATAATAATTAATAAATAGTGAAATTTGCATATCAATATTATAATTAATTGTAATACACGAGTTTAGGATTTGAATATATTTGCAAGTAATGCATTCGTTAATTTCAAATTTTAATCGAGCTCTCGCTTAATCAGTACTTACGCTGACACAAGCAATGACAACTATTGCTAAGGCGAGCGTAACTCTCATTTTGCACTTCCGATGCGTTAATCACTTCCGGCGAATATCAGTGGATGCTTTTGCGATCGTTGGTCGCTCCTTTCCTCTTTATGTTCGTTTTGTTTCCCGCGATTTTGCTTGCATCGATGGGACCGTTCCAACTGACCACGCAGAGTGAGCAACGAGAACTGAACTATGTTTACCTGGGAGAAACGCATTCAGTTTTTATTCTCGTTAAACATTGACACTAATAGAGCACAGGTTGTAACATACAATCGAACAGATGAACGATGAGGACAAAGTAAAATAAGTAGTACCTATGGTCGCAGAACTGAAGTTATTCTACGATAACGGTACATGACGAAAAAAGGCATCCAGGCCACCTCTCCAGGTTATGTGATACGTGCTTGCGATACTATATGTATAGTCCCGACTGTCAGAGGGTCTCTATTTATTGGAATTGAAAAAAAATATATTTCCTTTAATTATTATCTAATCAATAATTTAACTATTGTTTATTAAAGCGCTTATATTTTCTTTCCAACTTAATTCTGTGAATTTTAAAATATTTAAAGAAAAATGATTTTAAGCAAAATAAGTATACATTTATTATATGTTTATTATATATTATTAGAAGAAGTATAATCTAAATCAACTATTTTATGATTATGACATGTTAATAAAAAATGATCAGAAAATATTAAAATAGACACAAATTTTTGCTTCTCTTCTAACAGCAAAACAAAATTTATTGATAACAGCACAAAAATATAAGTATATTAATATTTTATAGTATTTTATTATTTATTTTTTGTATTACATATATATGTATATTTATTTATTTATATCCTATTTATATGAGTAAGTATCATTCACTTATACACGAAATACGAAATAGATCTATCACCATAAACTAGCTTTCATTACCATTCAATGGTTCGCGATCGTTAAATTGTTCGTCAATCATTCGACATCGTAATGAGTCTCACATGTCGACTATTTAGGTTTGTCGGACAGAGAATAAGATTGATGAATGTTAATAAATTGTTTGTTAAAATATGCTGCCTATATACATTCATATATCAAATCTTAATGAATACTAAACTACATTTATTTTTTTTTTTTTTTAGATTAATTATATGAATTCAAGAAAAGTTTATCATAATTGATTTATCAAATTAAATCAATTCTGGATTTCTAATTTTAAAAAATCAATGTATTTTATCCAAGTTTTAGTAAAATAAATATTAAGATATATTAGAAAGATGCAATAACATATTGCAATTTTACATATTATATATATTATAAAAATTTCTTTTCTATTTTCAGTTTTATTTTTATATTATATTATGGCCAGTACATTCTCGGCATGATTCGATAGGCGAAAACAGATGGTCGCCAACGATAATAGACAATCGGTCGGTCTGAACGATTGAATGGAAATGAAAGTCGTTCAGAAATAAGTAGCGGGTGTGACAATGACCGAGGTACGATCACCTCGGCGACGAACGACGATGCTAATGACGATGTTCGATTTGCGGTGAAGACGAAGGACAGCCAGGGAGGATTCAGTTGGCACGAGGGTTTCCTTTGGAATCGGTGATCGAGCGAACACGGGGAGCTTGTAATGAAAGGCAGGATGCGCTCGGGACCGGACGTGATGTTCTTCGCATACAGAAACAGTTCCAGAAACGAAGGAAACACCGTCGTTGGACTATGATGATTGGTACCCCTCCATCAAGATAATCGTGTCCTAAGTATGGTATGGCAAAAAGACGTCACCGGATAGGTTTTCATGTCTTGTCAACAGTTTGTACATTTATTTATGACGCGGCACTAATTTTGTCCTCATCAAGCCGGAAATTATTATTGTTCTTTTTTAGAATTTTCCCCTTATGGTCTCGCGTTTTCTATTCTAACCGGATGCATTGTTGGTCGATCCGTTGAAATGCGTATGGAAAATTTAATGCAAGAATTTTTTGGAAATTTATTTTAGATAATCTTGCAAAATCGAGCAAAAGTTTTCTCTATTTCGAAATAAAGAATCGATAACGTTAATTCAAACAGTATGATAAAAATGATAAAATAAAGAATCCATGGAAAAAGTAGCAAATTGCCAATTGAAATGCGACGAAGATTTTTTCGCTGAGAAAAGCGATTCAGTAAAATGAAACGATCAATACTTATCAATGAGACTTTCAATTGCAACCTATACAGGTAAACGTGGAATGGAGTAAACGTCAGGAGTTCATAGACCCAGCCTGGCCTATTATTTAAGTTTACATACGTATATCAGTTAACAGTGAAATATACATTTTATATTAAATTTTATTGTAATTTTTCATCTCTTTTTATTTACTTCACCGAGAATATTTTAAAATGACAAAACTATAATTTTTAAAATAATATATATACATATATCTTCTCCCCATATATTAGTAATAGTAATAATATTTTACACTACAAAATTCTAAGATTTTAAATCGATTCCTTTTTGTTTTTCTTTTTTTGAAACCAGAAATTTTTTCACACTTAAATTAAAAAGATACGGAAAGAAATAAAATCTTGAAAGTTCTGGTTTCGCCAGAATCTTTATTATTCTCTTTGCATCTCGTTCAGATTCATTCGGAAGTGGCGGCCACGTCAATGTTTTTTCCCAGAAATACAAAATTCACGTTACGTCAATTTAAAAATCGATTATTATTGACAGAAGATCGTTTTCCCGTGACGTGAGTGCGTTAATGGGAAACGTGTCGCCAAGCGTGAACAATAGCACGTGTTTCTATCCTCGTTCGACTCGACACCGCTAGGAATCGGTTCCTCTTTCGCGCTATCCTTCGAGAGAGAGTTACTCTTCTCTCCGTTAGTGCGTGTCTCACCCTCACGGATGACACTTTGTTGGGGGCTCTGCGTCGAAAGTTTTCACTCGTTGCCACGAATTTCGTATACTGCCTCTGAGTGTGATGCGGCACGTTGGTCATATTTCTCTTGAAAAAAATTTGTAAAAAAGTTACGCATCCCTACGCGTGCGTTCGTTCTTCTTCTTTTTCGTTTTTTTTTTTTGGCGATAAAGATGGATAAGTGGATCATTGTTGCTCGTGTGCACGGAATTTCAACGTCTTCTTGTTTAGTTGGATCTTCCATCGTGAATTGTGAATAAAGTACTATTGATTGTTTTGTGATTACGTGATTTTGTGTAAATATTGGTAATAAAAAGAAGAAAAAAAAAAGTTATTAGAAGAAATGAACGCGGAGGAAGTAAAAGTAGGATGCTTTCAAGTAGTTATAGTGCTGTTCCTTGGCATCAATTATGTCATAGTTGCGATGAGCCACGCATTGCCGGTATTTCATAATTATACGCCTAAATTTTATTGTCAGGTAAATTAATTCTTCTGCCTTTCTTTTCTGTTTACTATAATTTCTTAGTTGATTAATTCAATTATTCGATAATTTCACAATGATAACATCAAATAATTATTGAACTGTCCAAATTGATTTAAAAACAGAACAGTGAAATGTTCAGGCTTTAATTCATAAATGAAATATAATATATTACACTTTGTTCTCTTGAAGAAATATTGTTAATCGTTCATTCAAATTTATCTAATTTTTATTTTAATATATATATATATATTAATATAATATAAATATATATATATATATATATTTGTGTAAAATATTTTATTTCATACAACAAAAAAATTCAATAATCATGTCGGTCAAAAATTAAACTAATTAATACAATTGACTAGTTTCAAGGAAAAACGAGAAATATTTAAATTGGATATTACAGGCGAAAAATGGAACGAAACGAACGTATGGCTGCCAAGAGCTTGACAATATAACTCTTACAGCCAACGAGACTTCCGGTTTCAAAGAATCTACGAATACAGACTTGTGTTTCGGCGAGTATCAATTTGCAACCGAATTCGGAGAGAATAGCGTAGTGACGGAATGGCGTCTAGTTTGTGAAAAACGGTATTTGACGTTTCTTGGGCCGACCGTTTACTATATCGGGGTTTTAATGGGCGCTTGGATCGCTGGACTTTTGGCAGATCGTATTGGCAGACTTCCGGTTCAAGCGCTTTGTCTTTACACTCAGGGCACGATGGCTGTTGCGTTATACGTTGTACAGGTACATATAAATTTCCTTGAAAAAAAAGAAAAAGAAAATGATAGAATAACGTTAATTAAAATATCGATCAATGAAATATTTTTTTTTTTCTTTTTTCTTTATAAAAATTTTCAACTCGAGGATCGATCTTCGTTTTAATTCGAGTCATTCGTTCAACGCGGAAAATAAAAGAAGGCTACAGGTTGAATACCAAATTAATAGAGAATAAAATCTTTTCTCTCCTCTCTTGCTGAACGAGAAATCTTCATTTCAGAATTATCCCACGTTTTTGGCTCTTCGTGGATTGCAAGGTGTCTTTGTCCAGGGTCTACAAAATTCGACGTATATTCTTTCTTTGGAACTGTTCCCTGCCAAGGCACGGACTTTCGTTGCGTTAGTTATGCAAATTGCATGGGCTATTGGCTTGATACTTCTAGCTGCACTCAGTTACATTATACCCGACTGGAGAATATTGCAATTAGCAGTTTCAGTTCCCACCGCAATAACTGTACTTTACATTTGGTATATATAATTGTTTTTTAAGCTCGAAGAGCGAATAATATATATA